GCAGCCACTGCACTGCAGTCTGGGCGACAGAGTGAGACTCCAACTCAAAATAAATATATAAATAAATAAATAAGATAAAATTAGTTAGGTGTGGTGGGCACGTGCCTGTAGCTCCAGCTACTTGGAAGGCTGAGGCAGAAGGATAGCCTGAGCCCAGCAGGTCAAGACTGTGGTGGCCATGAGCAGGTCACTGCACCCCAGCCTGGACAACAGAGTGAGACTCCAATTCAAAACGTCAGTCAATCAATCTCTGTTCCTTAGAAACTACCCAGTCACAGGTATTCTGTTACAGTAGCACAAAACAAACTAAGAAAAACCAGTACCAGAGAAGTGGGGTTTTTCTATAACAAAAACCTGAGAATGTGGGATGCATCCTTGGAATGGAATAATGAGTAGAGGCTGGAAGAGTTTGGGGGAGCAGGCTAGAAAAAAGCCTAGATTGCCATGAATGGAACAGTAAGAGCAATTTTGGTGAGGGCCCGGGAGGAGATAAGAGCTGTAGGGAAAACCTAAACCTTCTTAGGGACTAGTCATCAGAATGCTAATAGAAATATAGATAGTAAGGGCCAGGAGTGGTGACTCACACCTGTAATCCCAGCCCTTTGGGAGGCCAAGGCAGGAGGATTGCTTGAGCTCAGGAGTTTGAGACCAGTCTCAGCAACAAAGTGAGACCTCATTACTACAAAAAAAATTTTTTTTAATTAACTAGGCATGGCAGCATGCATTTGCAATTCCAGCACTTTGGGAGGCTGACGATGGAGATTTGTTTGAGCTCAGGAGTTTGAAACCAGCCTGGGAAGCATAGCAAGACCATGTATCTACAAAAGATACAAAAATTAGCGGATCACTGGGTCGCACACCCGTAGTCCCAGCTACTGGGGAGGCTGAGGTGGAAAGATCACTTAAGCCCAGGAGATCGAGGATGAGGTGAGCTGTGCTTATGCCACTGCACTCCAGACTGGGTGACTGAGTTCGAGATCCTGACTTAAAAAGAAGAGGCCGGGCTTGGTGGCTCAGCTTGTCATCTCAGCAGTTTGGGAGGCTGCGGCGAGTGGACTGCCTGAACCCGCAGGTTCAAGAC